CAAAACGGGTCACGATTTCGTGACCAGTTTGTTGGGCGCACTATGCGGCCTTTTATGATGAGTTGACCTCACTATCATGGAAGAGTTTAACCACTAGTATAACTGAGTAGAGAGTAACTGTCCTGGCGTCCCATCACAGTCGCAGCAACACTATGACAAATTGCCCTGACATACGTATTACGGCTCCCTAAATTCCCCCAACCCCTGGAGCAGCAATGCGACGATGAGCACCTGAGCGAGCAAGGTGGTTTTTTTCCCAGACGCGTACCTTAATTAAGGGATATGGGGGTTTCCGAAAATAGGGGACCCTAATCTTGTACCGTAAATAGTAGGATCCTTATTATAAGGACCACAAAATAAGGTGGGGTCTTTGGGAAACCGGCCAAGGCAGTTCCCAGCGTCCTTCCAGCAGGTCCAGGCAGCGAGCTCCGGGAGCCTTACATTTTTGGGGTTTAGGGTGTAGGGTTTAGGATTCAGGGTTTAGGGATTTAGGGTTTAGGGTTTAGGATGCAGGGTTTAGGGGTTAAGGGTTTAGGGCTTAGGGGTTTTGGGCTTTAAAACTTTAGCGGGTTCAGGGTTTTCTTTGTTTTGGAAGAGATGCTCGCCTTTACCAGTATCTATCGTTACTATTGATCAGCTTGCTGTCAGTGCTATGATTCCGGTTATCAAGATCATGCTGGCGAGTGTCGAGAGTAAGGATAGGTATGGCGGCAGTGGCGTGCGTGGCCATGGTGATGGTGGAAACGAAGATGGTGAGCTGTTGCTGGTACTCAGCCCTCAAGGATGGAAGCCCGATGCCAAAAGCAGCCCAAACCCTGAACCCCTCTAAGCCCAAAGCCCCCAGACCCCAAAATCTGGCAGCCACAGGTGGATGGCGAGGCCCAGTATGTTGCCGGCAAGTCCGAGCAGGTCGATGGGCCCCCTCAGGTGGGGCAGAGGGTTTCAGGAATGTTTGGGGTGCATCTCAGGGCTTCAGTGCGACGTGTGCAGGTGCTGGAGATTTACAGCAACAGTTTGATACTCCTACCCTAAACCCTAAACCCTAAACCCTAAACCCTAAACCCTAAACCCTAAACCCTAAAACCCTAAACCCTAAACCCTAAACCCTAAAACCTAAGACCTAAAGAAGTGTTCATCGAGCTTGAAAAGGGGGTTCTTCCTGCGATGCAAGACCTGGGGCCGGTGAGTATCACCCGAAACTCTGAGTTTAGGGTTTAGAGCGTAGGGCTTAGGTTTTAGGGTTCGGGGGGTTTAGGGGTTTTGGGTTTAGGGTTTAGGGCCAAGCCTTAAACCCCCAAGTATCGGAGGACCTGTTGGGTCCCAGCTTCCACGGAGGGCAACCGGGTTTGCTTGGATGTACAGGCTCCACCCCAAACTTCGAGTTCTCCGCAATGGGGGTTTTAGGATCAAGTTTCAGGGATCCTGGGGGGATCAGGGGGTTTTGGAGTTTTGCGGCTAAGTTTGGGGTTTCCCGGTTGAAGGCGCTTGGGGTGAGGCTTCATGCAATTTGCGTTCTCCCTGATTTCAGCTTGAGAGTAGTAAACCCTCAGCCATCGGATTCTCAGGCTCTTAAACTGAAGCAGATTCCAGATCCTCAACCTTGCCCAACCCGCCTCCTGGGCCCTGCCCCGTCGTTCGCCTGTCACGGCCAAACAGTAGGCGGTTTAGGGTTTAGGGTTTAGGGTTTAGGGTGCCCCTTTCAAATTCCAGCCCGAGCACCCTTGATTTAGGCCAACCCACCCACAACCTCTCCAAAGACACTCTACAGAACGTATGACAACCTACAGTTGCAGCACCTGCAACAACTTCTTTTTGAATCCCTGCTATACATAAAGCTAAAACAGCATGTTGAGTCCCACACCCCAAACCCCAAACCCTAACCCCTGAACCCTAAGCCCTAAACCCTAAACTTTAAACCCTAAACCCTGAACCACTAAAGCCTTAAATCCTAAACCCTCAATTGGTTCAGGTGGGCACGCAGCGCGTCGAGCAGACCGTCGCCGGGCAGGTGAAGCAGCAGGCGGCGGTGTGCCGGATGTTTGCATTTAGGCAGTTTAAAGTTTAGGGTTTAGGGCTTCAGGGAAAACGGGATTTTCGCATCGAGTTTTAGGGCTTAGGGCTTCAGGTTTAGAGTTCATGGGTGGTTTTTCCGGCGATTAGAGGCTTCCAGTGGTTTTTGATTCTTTGCTGAAGCCCCGAAAGCAACCCCCCCCCCCTAAACCCTAAACCCTAAACCCTAAACCCTAAACCCTAAACCCTAAACCCCTAAACCCTAAACCCTAAACCCCCTCCCCTTCAACGCCAAGCTCCCGGGCAGATCGTGGAGATCCCTCAAGTCCAGGAGGTCGTTGAGGAACAGGAGATCCCGGAGGTTGCCAGAGGGCTTGCTTTGAAGGGTTTAGGGGTTTAGGGGTTTAGGGTTTTTAGGGTTTAGGAGTTTAGAGGTTTAGGGTTTTTAGGGTTTAGGGCTTAGGGTTTAGGGGTTTAGGGGTTCCATCAGGGCTTCCCTTAAAGGATTCGTTAGGGTTTAGGTCAGGGTTCCTTTAAGGCTTCCCTTAAGAATTCCTTTAAGGGGCTCCTTTGGGGTTTGGGGTTTCAGGGCTTCGGGAATTAGGGCTTCGGGATTTTGCGGTTTAGGCTTGGGGTTCGGGGGTAGGGTTTGGTGCGTTTTAGTAGGGGTTGCGGTGAGGAAACTGATGTTGTCATCATGAACATTCATCAGAGCAGTCGTATGGCTGTTATGATTGGTATGTTCATCATGACATTCTTATTCGAGTATATATTGCAGTTTAGGAGCTTTGCAGTCTCGTTGAAGGCTTTGGTCGTGGTTTCAGTTCAGCCTTCTGACCCTAGACTCCTCTCAAGGAAGCAAGGTGAGGGTTGAGGAGGACTCAGATCAGCAAGCGCAGTCAAGACACGTGAAGCTTCAAACAGAGCAGGAGACTCTAAACCCTTCAGCCCTAGACTCCTAAGGCCCTGAACCCCTGCGGTCTTAGAACCGCTCGAGCCGTTTAGACAACTAGAGGCAAGAGACAAGGTAGAAGACGAGAAGGGTCGAGGTATGGTTTGGGGTGTGCGCCGTTCTAAATCAGGCCATCCGGGTGGAGTTCGGGTGTTGCGGTTCGTTTTTTGGCCCGAGTTCGTGTCAGTTCGCGCTATTGACAGCGGGGATCAGAGTAGGAGTAGTAGTAGGCGTCGTACGTAGTAGTAGTAGTAGTA